ACATTTACAATAATCCAATAGGCAAATGATTGGAAAAAAAGAAAAGGAAATAGAGATTCTATACACATTGTTGTGCATAACCCCTGGAACAGTTTCATTTTTGTATACTAAGGCCCACACCACTACATTTTAAATGTTTGTAGTTTTGAGCTATCAGTCCCTGAGTTATGGACCTAGCACCTTCAGTACACCATTTTTCAGGGTGGTTACTTATCAGATAATAACAGTGACCACAATTAAATAATAATGTCACCTATGGCTCTCCTGTATGTCTTAATTTTAAAAAAGATGTAACAGTGATTCCAACTTGATGAGAGTGGAAGAGCCATCCATGCAATTGGCTTTTGCTTTACAGAAGAGAGTGCTTACAGACCAGTGGCTCCAACTGAAGCAACGTGGAGTGTGTTAAGGTGGGCTGTTCATCCAACAGCTATGTATCAAGTGTTTCTTGGGTGCCAGCCACTGCTGCAGGTGTCACCTATACTCTTGTCATTCCATCACCTCCTGGGAATTTCAAACTCAATAATTCAGCATTTAGGATTCTTCAATAGCTGACCCCAACTTACCCGTGGAGCCTGCCACATCAGTTGCTACATTCGTGAGTGTGGAAGATTTGGGATTGCTTACTCACTATGGCTGCCTCTCATTGCTTCATAGGTATCCCACCCAAGGCTGTACATGCAATCATCCCTGAAAACAGAAGACCACTCTTGCATCAAAGTATATATATGTTATGGCTTGGGTCTAGATGTCTCCCAAAGCCTCATGCAGTTGTGGGTGGGGCTTTTTCAGAGATATGTGACTGATGCTTGGTGCAGTGCTAGGCCCAAGGGTAGGAGGATAAAGGGTGTGAGTGCTGCCCACCCTAAGTAGTTTGAACAAGATAAAAAGGGTGGGAAGAAGCCGGTAAGATCCCTTGTTGCTTTTGTTACCTTCTGGCCACCATGAACTATTTCTTCTCTGTGATCCCCCTCTGCCATGCTGCTCTCCTTGGAGCCAGGTGATTATGGACTGAAATCTCTACAAATTATGAGCTAAAGAAACCTTTGCTCCTTTAACTTTGAGTGTTGGTTATTTGGTTTCAGCAATGAGAAAAGTAACTAAGACAATATACATGCACAAAGCTGTCTCATATACAGAATTCTTCTGTGCTACCTAGTTCTGCCTGTGGCAAAGCCTCTGGAAAACAAAATTTAGGAAAATTTTGTAAATTCCATTAAAACTATTACAAACAATATGAATTCCTATAAATTCTATAACAAAAAATTGTAATATTGTTAAATTTAACAAATTAATAATTTTACAAAACTGTTATTTGGCTAATTTATCTTCAGCCATTTGGGTTTCATAGATTTCCTTTTTTCTCTCCCATTCCTCACTCTTTGGCCTTTTTATCCCCCTGAAAATTTCCCTGTTCATAAATGGCCCATTCTTTTTTGGAGACTTCACAGAAATATGGGGCCCAAAGCTTCAAGATAATAATGAACCACTTGTTTTCCTGAGGCTTCTGTTCCTGAAATCCCTTAAGGACTTGGACCTTGTGGGAAGATTACAGTTCCTATCAGCAGCCAGGTTGATTCTGCTACTCACTGGCTGGATAACTCTTGCCAAATTCCTCAACCTCTCTGAGCTCTGATTTCCTCATTTGTAATAGAAGAATAATATTTTGTGTTTAAGGCAGAGTTTTATGAGAATTAGGATATGTGAGCAGATGGCCTAGTGCAGTCCTTGAAATGTTGAAATACTTTTTGCTGGCTTTCTACTCTTCCCTATGCAGACTTCCATGGCAGTGGCTCTTCAGCAAGGCAAGGCTCATGCTTGTAATCTTTCCTCCAAGCTTTCTTTCCTCTTTTCGTCAAAGCCTTTCTGCCCAGGCCCTGCCTTCTTATAACTTAGTTTCCAGAAATGAAGAAATAATCCAAGCTATGGTGAGGTGAAAATTGATAAATATCCTTATCAGGTGTTATTTTATCAGATGCTGTAAGCTACTCACACAAATTTCATTCTTCTAGCCTTGTATGCTTTAACTTCTTTCTTGGTATTACAGCTCTGTTTTGGGGGGGGGTGTTCCACCCTCTTCCATGTAATCATGAGCTTAGAAAAGCTGTTGCCATCACTCAGGGTATCCTGAGTGGAAAGTCCATTGTCTATACAGGTTGGCATGTTACTCAATTCAAGCCAACAAATGTGAGCAGTGTTTGCCAGGGAGCTTCTGAATAAGATGTTCTCATCTATTAGGAGCCACCATTGGCTACCATTGGCCACCATTGGCCAGGTCTGTGAGTCACAACATGCTTGTGACCATGAGGAAGGATAGCCTAGTTCATGAGCAGCATGCTGAGGATGGTAGAGAGAAAGGATAGGTGGACCCAGGGCCCTTGATAATGTAATTGAAACGTTGCATTAAGCAAACGTGGAAATACTATAACTTGGAACCCCTTGGTATATTCAGTAATAATGCATCTTTTTAACTCATTTGGGCCAGGTTTTCTGTCACTTTGGCTGAAGGTGCTGTGACTGATACAAGAAGGTACTACGTGTGTAAACCAAAGAGAAGACAGAAACTCTGGCCTCCTTAGGGGATACAAAGCAAACAAATGGAAGACTGCTGAGCAAAGTAATTAGATTTAAGTGGCTTCTTTTTTTTAAGAGAAGAGCTTATCAGTGATGTCATGGAATGTCTGGTCACTAACTCAGCAGTGTACATTTTTTTGTAGTGTGGCTTTACCACAGTTTTGGTCCATGTTAGTAGAGTCACACTTATACCAGAGCCATAGGTTAAATAAAGTATATTACTTCATTAAAAAAAGAGAAAGATACGCAGATGGTTATGATAGAATATTGTTCCCAGTGATTATAAAGTCCATTGTGAAAGGCAGAGAAGCACAAAAAAGCCCAAGAAGGGTTTAAATAAAGGCAGGGAAATCAGAGTGGGAGCAGATAGAGAGGAATGCGGGCTATAAATTAACCACAAAAAGAAACTGTAGATCCACACTCTTCTTTCCCAAAGTGAGATAGCTCCGATGCTCTCCTGCCAAGTGAATCAGTGGCATGGTAAGGCGGGTCTTTAAGTTCTTAACCTGTCCCGGTGGTGAGCTAGTTGGAGAGTGGAGGGAAGACAAATTTCCCAGAGGACCCTTCCCAGCCAAGCCACTCTGAGTGGGGCCCTCACTTTGTTCTCAAAGTCTCCTTCTTGAACCCAGATGGAGCCCTCATCTCCCTGGTCTGGTTTTCTTAAAAAAGGGTAAAAAGTAGGAAGAATCAGAACAGTAGTGGCCTCAAGGTGCGATACTAGTTCCAACACTGAGCCTCATTTTCAGGGACACCAGAACCAAGGTGACTGTTATTTTTCACCTCACAAAAGCCTGGCCTCGCCTCGTGCCTCGCTGACTCCTCTTCCTTTACCCATCATCATCATCACTCCAGGTTTTAACAAAGCTCAGCAGCAGTCACTCTCATCGGGAAAGTTTAACAGGAAAGAGCAGACAGTAGGATACAACTACATGAGAATTCAAAAGACCACTGAGGACAGAAAAAAACTGGGGCTTCGATGAGCTTCCTGATTCCTGTGCCTGCAATTGCTGCCGGGACTGAAGTTGAGTGATGTATAAAAAGGCAGCCATTGTTTCAAGAACACTTGGAAAATGCTTTGGGAAAGAAGACTAGGGCTCTGCAATTCCTTTTTTGTGGTTAAGGTATAACCAGCAAACTCTCTATTTGCTCCCACACTGAGTTTTCCACACCTTTAGTTCAAGAGCCCGTAGTTTCAAAAGCTGATGCTGTGAAGGAGCTGAGACTCATGGGCTGGATTTCGGTGGGCAAGTTTGCTATGGAAAGCTAGTCTTGCTGTTTGAATTCTGCCTGCATTTCTTACTGGCCATACCTGTCTTGGTCAGATTACTGTACATCTCTGAGCTTTAGAGTATTTATCTGTGGAATGGGTTTAATAACAGCAATTATCTTAAATGGCTGTTACTAAGATTAAATAAATGAAAAATGTATATACAAAATTGTAAGAGCTACTGGCACTGAGTCAGAGTGTAATCAACATTAGCTATTATTTTAGAAAACAAAAATAATAGTACTGGAGGGAGGTGGTTATTCTGTAGCATCAAAAGGATCAGACAACTGATAATTTAACTTTTTGAACACTCAAAATCCTTTCTTAATTTTATTTTCAAAGATCATGTTTCTAGAGTCTTTAGACAAGAGATTTGTTTTCACACCTTCCTGTTTAATCAGGTTTTTGTTTCTACTCTGACAATTCCAAGTCTCCTCTAAATCCAAGGTTCGAGTCTCCATTTTCATCTTGATATGTCAATAGTATCTGAGATAGAAGGATACTACCTTCTGGAAACTCTTTCTCATTTGACATAAGGACATAATTCTCTCTTGGTTCTCCTCAATCTTTTGGCATAAGGACATAACTCTTTCTTGGTTCTCCTCAATGCCTAGCTAGCTGCTCTTTCTCTGTCTGCTTGGCCATTTCATCCTCATTTTCCTGATTTCTAAACACTAGAATTGCCCTAGGACTCAATCCTGCACATTTCTTCACCTTGACAGATGGGAATTCCATGTTTCTGGTTGCTCAGGCCACTTTCCTCAGGCCTACGCCAACACACAGTCAGGACCACTGACCTGTCCCACACATGTCCTCAGGGGTGCAGGACTTTTTTGTGACTGTTCACCTGGACCCTGTTTCACCTGACTAGAATTCTGCAGGAAATGTAGTTTAGGGTTGGGATGATGTGTGAAGAAAGCCTCAAAGAAACCAAGGCACAGTGACATCAACATCATGAAGGAGCATATTCAATCTCCCCTCATCCTCAACTTTTTCTATTTCTCCTTCATCTGTTCCACATCTGTCCTGCGCCCTGCTGTGTCTGTTATATGAATTCCTTTTATGTGTACTGTGAACTCATCTCCAAATCCCTATAGCACCCACACTATCACCTTGAGCAGAAGAGTTGAATAAATAGATGGGCAAGTTTCCTTAAAGATCAAGTTTTGCCTGAGGAATCTTAGCCTCAGTGTTTTATTTTGGTGGAAATGACAACAGGGTCTGGGATTAAATGACTCAACCTTATCAGTGTTCTTTCTAGGGTGAAGTCTTCTTTCCTAAGTGTGAAGAAGAAAAGAAACCAGAAGGCAAACATACGGCTTCTCTTCCTGACTCTGTCTGGTTTCACATTTGGGAAAATAACCCTAAAGTTCCCCACCTTTATTTTTATTTATCATGAAAAATTAGACTGAAATCAAAATGGGTCTGGATGTCTCACACCAAATAAATAATGAATGCTTGGCATTTTCGAGATGGGGAGGAAGATATCTGGAGTTTACTTTTTTCCTTAAGTATAAAAATCAAAAAGTCAGATAAAATCTTTAGTCCTTGTGTTCTTGCCAATGAAGAGAACTGTGACATTATCCTAGTGGTTCCTTGCTGGCACTCTAGAAAGAGAAACATAAATTTTATAAACTGATACGATGTTCACAATTCCATATGAAAACAAATTTAAGGATCACCAAACCAGGAATGGCCCTAAAACTGTGCAGAGCCCTGATGAATAAATAGAAACACAGTATAAGGTTCTCCACAGAGTGAAGCAAAAGTTACCTAATGTCTTCCTAAAATATACCAGCAGGAATGCAGACTTTAATTAAAGAAGCCATAGGTTGATTTTTCTTTCTGCCTTTTTTCTCTGAAAGACAAATAATAAAAAATGAATGAGGTTAAAAGCAAATGAGAACCATATTGGGAAAGTGAAACATACTCAAACTTCTGGCTAAGCTGCTTGCAAAGAGCTAAAGTTCTTTAATCATCCCATTGGAGATGCAGCCAAAAAATGCAATTTGAAACACACACACACACAACACACACACACGCACATGCACACACACATACACATCTCCACACCCACACCCTCCCTCTTTTTCACTGTAGATGAATCAAGATGGTGGAGACAGGATATGATGAGAACCATTCCTGCCTTCTCCGTACTTTATAAAAGGCTTTGGCAATCAGTTTGAGACATCCATCTATCAGTTCTCATTCTTTAAGCATACAATGTGTGGGGTACATTGGTTGCAAGAGGTAATAAACAGCTGGTCTTGGTAACAGATTACAAATATGCTAAAACAGCAACCTCTTTAAGGCCCAGATTCTTCTAACAGATGATTTTTCTAAAGATAAATCTGAGCATACAAGTACACCACTACATGTGAGTGTGAGAAACAGCAACTTTGTTAGAATTACTAATCTTAAGTAGAAATAAGTTGGTCTCTTATTAGTTAACAAACTGATGAAACAGAGAAGTTTTGATCTGAGGAGAGCTAGGTGAAATTCATAGAGAGGCAAAGTTGACAATAGACTAGGTAGTGTGATTTCAGGACGATGCAGTATGTATCCCATCCCACTCCACCTCACATACTTCAGAGTTTAAGGGTTACAATTTTTTCTGTTTTTTTAATAGACAGAAGACATACTGACATAGTTGATTTATAAAAGTAGAGTGTTTGAGTTGTGGATTTTTCTAATGAAGCCTAACTCATTGATATTAAGAAAATGTGGGGCATTGTGGGAATATGTTTACCCAAGTTGTGATATTTTCTTTTTTCGAAGGGAGCAGTTTGGTGAAATTCCTGGCTTATTCCTCTCCCATTTCTCTCCATTCCTGAGGGGAAGATGGAATGTCTTAACTGGCTGATAAGTGTGAGCATGCTCAGCTTAGATTATTATTCCTCTTGGGAGTGGGCTGCCCAGAGAGAACATGTTTTATTTTGATGTTCTAGGGGAGAGTTCTTCCACTCTTGGTGCCCAGTGTTGGCAAGTGTACTTGGCTGATGTTATGTCCTCCACCCTGGCCTCCTTCCAAAACAACAGGTATTTTTGTTCCCGTTTACCAGTTCTCTGTTTGGCAATTTGTACAAAGCAAAGAGGGAAGCTATTTATTGGCTTCTTTGGGCCACACTCCCCAATGTGGTTTATGTGTCAAGAAAACTGAATGTAGAATTTTAAAATCTTAGTTTTATCCTTGCTTTGTCTTACCTTAGTTGTTGGAATTTGGGGGAGACACTGCGATGGTTTGATAAATATTTCCCAAAGGCTCATAAGTTAAATATTAAGTTCTAGCTTGGGACTCTTCAAAGGTGCTGGAATCTTTAAGGGAAAGGGTCTAGTGGGAGGCCTTTAGGTCACTGGGGGTGTAGCCTTGAAGTGGATACTGGGACCGCAGTATTTCCTTCTCTCCTCCTCTGCTTCCCAGGTGCATGGTGAGCTGTTTTGCTCTGACAAATACTCCTGCCACAATGTGTCACCACAGGCCCAAAACAACAGGGACAACTGATCATGGACTGAAACACCTCAAACTGTGAGCTAAATAAAGCTCTTCTGTTTACAAGTGATCATCTCAGACATTTGTTATAGTGATGGAAAACTAACGCAAACATAAAATGTCTATGTTTAAGTTTTATTGAATGTAAAATTAGTTCATAAAATTACTACCTTATGATTATATATGTAATGGGGTGCCAGACCAAGACTTCTGTAATGCAGTATATTGTCTGAGACTTTTTTCCAACCAGACAAGCTTTTGGGCTCTGTCAAGATATATCTTGACAAATCCTTCCTAGCTGCGTAAAAGTTGACTGATTGGACTATCATTTTCTGGATGAAAATTTAAAAATAAACTTTCTGATTTTTGAGCCCTCACAAACTTGCCCAGCTCTTTGGGAAGAGAAGCTGTAGCAAGGAGCTATTAAATTTTTACAAAAAGATTATACAGGCTTGAAGAATGCAGTAGCTAAGACCTTAACCCTATGTCCCCAGGATCAAAGGTATAGTGATCTACTGGAGGTAGAATAGGATTGCCCCCAACTAAGGACAGGGACAGCGAAGATCTATAAAGTCTCTGCAATGCAATTATCTTGAGTAAAAGTGAAATCAAGGTTGATGATCTGAGCTAAACACAGAGTGTAGAGGTTATGACCCTGTGGACAAGGATTACACTAATGCCTTGGAACAAATAACCATGGAATGTCAGTGGCAAACTCAATAAGCCCTATTTAGCTCAAGACTGCAATTTGATTAAGGGTTGGCTAATCTATGCTGGGCTCAGCTGCATGGCTCCACTAATTTTCAATAGATAAATTCAAATATGTGCGAGTCTACTGAAGTTTAGCTTATTTAAGAGGGCTGGGCTGGGGTGACTCAACTCAGTTCCACAAAGACGCATGAGGTTTCTTAAGGCCAAGGCCTAATCTTAGAAATGATACATTTTTGCTTCCTTCTTTTTGTATTGACTAATGCAAATCACATAGCTAAGTCTAAATTGAAGGGGTGGGAAATATACTCTATCTCTTTAGTGAAGAAACTCCAAAGTCATATGCCAAAGAGTATGGGTGTGGAGTGTTGTGGAGAACTAGAACTAATGATGCAATCTGCCAGAGTGGGGGAGGTCAGATTTGGACACACACAGTGAGCTTCACCTAGGCACCAGTGTTTGTGCTCCGGAGAATTATGGCTGTACAAGGAAACATGCATTCAAAAGAGTTGCTATCTTTGCACGCAACACTATAGTGATGTGGGAAAGAACATCACAGCAGTAGAAGTCAAGGGTAGCTGTTATGGAGGAATAATAAAGATTATGGTGGATGCTGTTCTCTCCCTGAAAAAAATTGTAAACCTTGAAACTGTTAAGCTTCTGGAAGTCTTGGACAATCTGAGTCACTGTTGAGATGGTGGGGAGAAGAATTTAAAAATGAGACTCTGGGTGCCCTGATAATATAACATGCATCTGCCAGAGAGTACTTGGAAAATTCACAGAGGTATGCATACTCTGAATTGCTGACCCAGATAATTCTATGTGCAAATGAAAACCATTCACAAATGAACCCACCCCATTTAGTGCTGCCACTCTATTTTCTTTCTAATTTCCTAGATTTTATGGTTGAATGTATTTATATAATGTTCAATGTTATCCTTAAAGGTTTTGTAGAACTCAGCAGTGAATCCACTAGGTCCTGGGCTTTTTTTAGTTGGTAGATTTTTTTATGACTGTGTCAGTTTGATTACTTGTTATTGGGTTGTTAATCATATTTACATCTTCTTGGGTTAGTTGTGGTAGTTCATGTGTCTAGGAATCTGTCTACTTCTTCAAAATTCACTAACTTGTTGGAATATAATTTTTCAAAGTAGTTATTATCTTCTGGATTTCCACAATGTCCACTGTGATTTCACTTTTTTCATTTCTAATTGCATTGATGTATTTTCTTGCTTTCTCTTGGTAAGTCTGGTGAGGGGCTTTTTTATTTATTCTTTCAAAGATCCAGCTCTTTGATTTATTGATTTTTTGTCTCAATTTTATTGATTTCCACTCCCATCTTTATAACTTCCCTCTTTAATTTCAGTTTGGGACTGGTTTGTTGTTGTTTCTCAAGTATCTTATGATTGCTCATGAGGTGGTCTATTTGAGCTTGCTCTGTTTTCCTAATCTGAACATTGATTATGATGAATTTTCCTCTTAGAAACAAATTCATAGTATCCTACAGGTTTCAACAAGTTGTATCGTCATTGTCATTAACCTCCAGATTTTTAAATTTCTTCTTTGATTTCTTCTGTGATCCATTGGTTGTTTAGGAGTATATTAATTTTCCAGAAGCTTGTACCATTTTCAAAATTTCTTCTGTTGTTGATTTTTATTTTCATTGCACAGTGGTCTGATAGTATGCATGGGGTAATTTCTGTTCTTTTATATTAACTTAAGCAGGATTTCTGGACTAGCATGTGATCTATGTTGGAAAAAGTACCATGTGCTGCTGAAAAGAATGTATATTCTGTTGCAGAGTGGTGGAATACTCTGTATATATCCATTAAGTCCATACTTTCAAGAGTGTGGTTCAGTTCTGAAATTTCTTTATTGGTTTTTTAAATTAATTTTATGGTACACTTCTGATACACATAATGATAACATTCATCGTAGGGTATTTGTGCATGTACATGATATATACTGGTTCTTCTTTCTTCCCCATTCTCCCTTCCTTCTTTCAACCCTTCTCATTTACAAAAGCTATGTTTCCAGTTATTCTTTCTATTCTATTTTGTTTTTCTTTTCTCTTCCTTCCCTTCCACCTCCTCCTTCCCTTGCTCCCCTTCACATTTGAACATTTTTTTCCTACTTTTCTATATCTGTCATCTATTTTGGTCCTTATTTACCCTTTCAGTTTCTCACACAAGAGAAACAATATAATATGTAAACTTGTGTGTCCCATTTATTTCATTTAAAAGTATGGTCTCAAGGTGCATCCATTTATGTAAAAGTGTCTCAAGCTTTTCCTTCTTTATGGCAGAGTAGTACTCCATTGTACATAAAAAATACATTTTGTTTATCCATTCATCCATTGATGGGAATTGGGGCTGTTTCCAAGGTTTAGCTATTACAAATTGTGCTGCTATAAACATGGGTGTGCATATATCAGAAATGTCTTTTTTTTTTTTTTTTTTTGGTACTGGGG